ACTCTGGGCACTTCCCTCCCCAGGTATCGTATTCTGAACCCAGCGGCCATTCCCGAGGGGCAGTTCATTGACAGCAGGAAGGGGGCAGAAAAGCTACTAGGCTCCTTGGATATTGACCACAACCAGTACAAGTTTGGCCACACCAAGGTGAATCTTGAGCCCAACTGGATGGGTACAGGACAGATGTCCCTGTTGCATGAAGCAGATGGAAGATGTGGAAGCAGCCCCCTGATTCCTTCCCAACCCAAGGACTGCAAAGCAGGCTGCATTGCTCCCTTGTGTTCTGTATTTGTTCTAGAATGCATGGGATTGGGTTCGCTGGGAGCTCACTCAGACTTCTCCTACCTGCTTCCTCTGTCCTGGATACCTCTCTCTGAGGCTGAGAACCCTGGTTCTACTCCTTGCCCACAGGTGTTCTTCAAGGCAGGGCTTCTGGGGCTGTTGGAGGAGATGCGAGATGAGCGGCTAAGTCGCATCATCACGCGCATCCAGGCACAGTCCAGGGGCCAGCTCATGCGCATCGAGTTCAAGAAGATTGTGGAACGCAGGTGAGGAAAGAAGGAAAGGAAAGGCACCTGAAATGTCAGAGAATTGCTAGACAGTGTGGGTCAGAAGATCTGGACTCAGATCCTGGCTCTACCACTTATTAGCTTGCCTTGGCAAGTTACTTTTCCACTCTGCACCTAAGTTTGAATTATCTAAAAACACTCCACTTTAAAACACTAGATTGACAAAAATTAAGAAGTCTGACCTACCATTGACAGGTGTATAAATTAGTGCAACCTCTTTGGAAGACAATTTATCATCGTCCTTTAAAGCTGAACAGTCCCATGTGGCCACACCTGAATGCAATTCCACCCTCACAGAAACTCCTATACTTGTATTCAGGAGACAAGAGAGTCTTCATAACAGCATTGCCATAATAGTAGGGATCTGGAAACAACCTGAATCTCCATTCAGGGGGAATGGTTTTACAACCATTTGGTGGAATACTATAGAGCAAAGAGAAGTAGTGAACTACATACTACATGGCATATGTTTGAACCTTCAGTGCATATTGTTGAATGAACAAAAGCAAGTCTTAATTCCAGCACTCTGGGAAGGTGAGGCAGGTAAATCACAAGCTCAAGTCCAGCCTGAACAACTCAACGACTTAGTGAAACCCTGTCTCAAAATAAAAAATAAAAAAGCTGAGGGATGTAGCTCAGAGCCTTGGATTCAAACCCTAGTACTAAACAATGTCTCAGAAGGATATGTAGAGTGTGAGATAATCATTAATGGCTGGAAATGCTTTAACTCTTGCTGGTGGTGGATTCGTGGACAGTCACTTTCATGCTTCATAATGTGTATATGAGAGATATTCTTAAAGATAAAAACCTATACAATTTGAACATATTTGATGTTCTCATCAGAATAGAAACATTGAACAAAGTAGACACTTTATAAGTAGTAGCTTCCATTACTACTACTCTTCCAGTAGAGAAGATATAAACTACGCTTTTGTTGAACTGATCTACATTTTTATGGAGCAACTCCATGTTTGGTGCAGTGCTACTTGGTTGGGAGTGCATGCATGCAACGAGGGCTACAAGACAGGACTCCTGCCTCTGGTGTGTACAAACTTGCTAGATGGGAACGGAGCCATGTACAGTTGGTCCCACAACTGGGAAATCGTCTTTCATAGGGTCCCTCCCGGCCTCCCCATTTCTTTGTCAGGGATGCCCTGCTGATAATCCAGTGGAACATTCGGGCCTTCATGGGTGTCAAGAATTGGCCATGGATGAAGCTCTACTTCAAGATCAAGCCACTGCTGAAG